TTGTAGATTCTAGTTTATCCCCATCTTTTGTTTTAGAAGGGTAAGCAAAGGGAGTAATTAACTCACACACCTTGGGCTGGGCATAGTGGCTCACACCTGTAATCCCAGAATTTAGGGAGGTGGAGCTTGGAGGATCCCTTGAGCCAGGAGTTCGAGACCAACCTAGGCAACATGGCGAGACTTCGTCTCTACAAAAAAAAAAAATTAGCTGAGCATGGTGGTGTGAGTGTAGTCCCATGGTTCCAGCTATGGAGGAGGTTGAGGTGGTAGGATCGAATGAGCCCAGGAGTTTGAGGTTACAGTAAACTATGATCGTTCCCTGTCTCCAACAAACAAAAAACCCTCATATACCTTGTAAGTGGCAGAATATGAACCCAAATCTGTCTGATTTCCAAACTGTGTTCTTAATTGTCATGTTATACTGCCTCCCCATTGCTAAAAGCAATAAATACCTTCTGATGTGATACTGTAGAATTGATCAATTATGATTTAATATAAATCACATTGCTGTGTTCTTTCACACATGATATACAAGGGCTCTCCAGAAAGTATCCAGCCATTGTTAGTATAACATTATGCTGATAATATAACTTTATATTATATTGAAATATATTGTCTTGATTGACTGTTACATCAGGCTTTTGACCACTGCTTAACACGTGAACTCTACCTGTTGAGTCGATATAGAAGATGAACACCTTTGGAGTTTTGTGGCTATTTGGCAGGATTCTTGGCCATTCTTGGAATTCCCAGTGGTGATGTTAGTGTTAAGTAGACCATTTTTGTTGATTCAGTAGGAGGACTTGGCTGCCCAAGATGTCAGTAGCTGATGGGAGGCAGATGGTAATGGGGAGAAGACATGGATATGAGAGGGGACAGCACTTTGTTTCTCCAGTTATTTCTACAACCTTATTCTGTTTATTGGCTCTCTCCCTTTGTGGTTTTGTCCCCATGTTCTCCCTGTACCTAACTTCTCCCAGATGTCTGACTTCTCTTAACTTCTACCTACGTAGGCTTGGGATAACTAC